TAATTTTCTATTTATTAAAAGAGAGGATTACCTTTCTCTTCTTTTTCATCGGTCTTTTCTACAGGTACTGATAAATTCAACTCGAAGAGACTAGGAATCTTTTGATTCGTTGTATCTTGTCCTTGTGCTAGAGAACGTGCTGTATTATTTATCATTAACATGGCACCCTCTCTGCTTAACCTTGGAAAATCACCAAGAATTTCTTTTGGTGCAGTTTCCAAGTGTTTCAAAAGAATACCTTTTACCTGAAACACACAAAACCATTCCAATAAGATTATTTTCAGCAAATAAATTTAGTATGACTCGTTTCATTTTTTTTATCAGCACCAAATTTTTACTTGTAATTCATATATTCATATTATAATATTCTGTCAGTAAACTAACATAAGTTATGAAGTTATAAAATGACAATGTACCTGTTCGTTTAAGGGTTGATGAGAGAATTTACAATTGTCACCCTGATTGCACTTTAAACCTGTGTGGAAGAACTTGCAAGGAAAATCATGGTGCATGTAAAGGCATTTGTCCCGTTTTGCACAACAGTCCATAAGGTAGAACTTGCATAACTCCATTTTTCTAGGTGGCAACGCATTATGCGAAAATGGACAATCATCCCCTCTATGACACTTTCCTTGCATATAATACACACATATTGTGTCCACATCCTGCCCGTGATCATTGTTTTGTGGACGACGACCATTTCGGTCATTTCGAATTTGACCCCGGGTCTTATTCTTGCCACGTTCGTTCTTGCCACCGCGACGCCCTATTGTAAATATCCAAAAGCGTTAAAAGTAATCCAACACAGTTACAATGTACTCGATAAATTATAATTTAAGCAATTTTAATAATATAATTATGATAAAAGAAATTGTACAATACTTTAATTATGTGATCGTAATTAAGAGAAACGGAAATTAGGTCTCTGTACCTCCTCCTCCTCCTCCACCTCCACCTCCTCCACGTCCGCCGCGTTTGTTGTCATTTTCTCTATGTCGATTTATGTTGGGCCTTTCCTCATAATCCGAATTGGCGTCAAAATTCTCGTGCTCGTTCGTACGCCTGGGAGAATTAGTCTCTTGAGAATCCTTTCTGATGGGCGAAGCTCCTCGTACGAACAGCATTTCGTCTTCATCCTCATTCGTATTCTCGTCATCGCTCAATTTTCGCTTCTGTATAATATTACAAAAATTTAGTAAAACAAAGACAAACTTATGCGCCTATGATTTTCAAAAGCTTAACACTGAAAGAATACCAATGTTTAATGCATCTATGAATAAAATCTGTCATAATGCATTTTACATACCTTCTGATCTTTACCACGATCCTCCTCTCTCTCATCGCGCACTCTTTTCCTAACTTTGTTCCTGTTGTTCTTGTTCTTCGCTTTGGGTTCCTGATTCTTCGTGCCATCCTCTTCCATCGCAGCTTTGATAGCCTTCTCGACATCTCCAGCCCAATCCTCAGTCGGACCCTTATATTTCAAAAATCGCTCATGCTTACCACCAGCTGCCTGTGCAGCTTGCGGCTTTTTGCTCTTGTTAAATTTTGCATCAAAATTCTTATTCTTCGCAGAATCTGGCTTTGGTGCTGGCTTGGCAATCTCTGGTGCATCACTCGCTGCACGGGTGACTGGCTCATCGTCCTCGTCTGATGGAATTTCTCCATCTTCCAAATCGTTATCGTTGCTGCTGCACAAAAGAAAGAATATCATGAAGATATGAGAAAGTATAAAAGCAAATATGTCTCCTACACGTTACCCTCTTGATTCATAAATTACCCTTCAAGTACTAGTTTATTACTTTAGAAGTAACTGTATACCTTTCACGCATCATATTTATTTTCAAATAACTATTTATGTGCAACAATTGTCCAATTCGATACACGAAGCGTAATGAACTCTTTATGTACAATCATGTAGTTATGAATCTTTTCATTAAAATGACAAGACGTTTTGATTCAATGACTGCAACGATGACAACTGCTGATGTCATGCTCAGGGAGGTTCCTACTTTTAACGTTTTTGAGGAATATTAAATATTATCCTCCGTTCTATATAAAATAATGAGATATATACGTAATACCAAATCACTTTACTGAAATATAGTCTCTGCAATATATATATACATATATAATACACGATACAATTGCGACCTTCCTTCGTGCGCAATAAATTAAGCAATATGCAAAATCTCTAGCGGAATATACTTTTTCGTTTTCATTTTCATTTTCATTTCGTCAGTATATCGTTCATTACTGCTATACGAGATGAAGACGAGCAAGATCTGATGACGTTCGTTTCAGAATACATCTCGACGTTGGTACATCGAACACATCGACGAAACGCATTTTCTCGGACGTTATAGCTAAATCGACGTGACAGTTGCTGTGCATCGCACGCGAGTCTCCCAAACGGAAATGACCCTGTGCTCATGGATTTCTACGAGGAAGAGAACGCATCTGTCGACTTATGTTATCACCTCATCGTAATTCATAATAGCCTGTCTCGGCCTATATCACGAGTGTATGGTGGTGGAGGTGGTGTTGTTGTTGGTGATGGTGATGGTGGCGTGTACGTGCGTTTCGTTGGTGCGTGCCTGCGTGCGCCGCGGCGGGCTAAAAATGACGCCGAGGCGAATTCATGAGGACGGACTCGCGATTGTCGCCAAGGTCAAATTGATAGCGCAAGCAGTCATTGAACAGGTCGGCGGACTATATACGTCGCGCGGAGGAGACTATCTCTCTCTCTCTCTCGTGTATAGAGGGGGGGAGGGGGAAGTCCCGGATCGCGCGGGCTGTAACGTGGCGGCGCGGCGCCGTGGCTACTGGCCGTGCCGAAAACATCGGTCCACGCTTGCGAGGGGAAGGGGGCGGCCGAACGTCACGGCGCGAAACAGGGGTTGCACATTCGGCGACGCCTGGGGGAATGGGAACCGATCGATGGCGGGAAAACGAGCAGGTGCGCGTGCGGCTGGCCAAGGAACGACTGCCGTCTGAGAATCACGGTTCTGCGTAAACATATGCACATACACACTCCGGTTGTGTGGGTACACGAGAGGAAAATGCGAAATAATTGCGATATCAAATTTCCAACGACGCGGAAGTTGTCGATCTCTATTACTATCGTTAATGACGGAGATGAGACGTGGGCGGTGTGAGCGATAAGATCCGTTTTTTTTTTTTCGTTAATCGCGATAGGAAACCGGACACAATGGAGTTCTCGGTTCTTCGTAATCCTATAAAGGAGGAAAAGTAGAAGCGATTCGCTAAACTAGCGCGGACTATAGAATAAACACGCGTGCCTGCGAGCGTCATAAAAAATGGCGCGAAGCAATCCGACCCAGACAACAACGTCCAAAATCGGGACATAGATGTCTTAAAGACGTCATATCATGGGAGTAATTAGGACGTCATTAAGACGTTTTTAAGACATTAAAACCTCGAGACGTCTTAACCCTTAAATGCCACACCTCTCAAGAATCTCGTAAATGATACATGGGGTCTAAAAGACCCCAGCATGAAAAATGTCTTCTTACTCATTGATTTTTTTATATTTAGTTATGAAAATTATTTTCAATGTTGTTCAAGGCTTAGAAAAGAGAATAAAATGCTTATATTGTTGAAATTTCGATTTCAACATAGTATAAAAAATTAAGTAAACTGAGTACTGCTAAGTGTACAAACGGATAGGTCAATCACTCAACTATCATCAATGGGAGCATGAGCTCCATTTTTGGCAAGAACATTTGAAAACATTTCATTCTAAGGGGTCTGGGGTCCGCTGGACCCCGGGTGGCATTTAAGGGTTAATGACGTCTTGAAGACGTCTTATACTCCAATTTTGGACATTGCGTTATCTGGGGAGGATCGAATGCAGCAGATTCGGAAAGCGTTTGCCAGACGTTTACGAAATGTTTACGGTTACGCGAAACAGTCCGTTTAGTCTGATAGCGGACTGATATCAATTGGCACAAGGTCCTTTTTCCGCGCATCGGGAGTCGAACTCACCGGGGATTACATCGCCTGTCGACATCCATGTCCTCAAACCTGCTTCCACTTGTAAAATCATCCATTCCGCAAACGTAGAGTACGTAGAGACCATCGATCGATTACCGAATTAACGTACGGACAGGTTATCGCGAGGGTTTCTCGAGTAATCTCGACGGAAATAAAAGATTGGAGTTGCCTTACCGCTTTCATCGGGTTATCATCAATTTCATCATTTTCATCATCATTATCATCATCAGATCATGATCATCATCATCATTACGACGAATCGTCATAATCATGGTATAGAGTCATAGTAGCATATAACGTCGTAGGAACCACCACATTTTCAACATCGTCGTCGTTGCAACATTGTCGATTTTAAAGGCGACATTAAAGCCGAAGGATGATGCCGAAGGAGACATTACGCCGAAAAGCTCTTCGCGTGTCGATTCTCGTTCATTGAAGAAGTTTCTCCGTCTCTCTCTCTCTATCGCTTTCTGCCCGCTGAGCGTTGCGTGTGTACGTGCGTATATGTGCGTGTCTCGTGTATTAAGAGTGTAAAGACTGAAGGTCTTAGGATGAACGTCCGATTGTTCTGGCGTGGAAGGAGAGCGCGTATATACAGAGTGGCTCGGATATATCCTTCACTCGTGAATTCTGAGACGACCGGAACTTTCTTTTTTAATTTTGCACAACTGACCGCCTTAATCTTTAATCAAAATTAATTTCGGATGTTTCGACGATCGATAAAACGGAATTTCTTTAAAAATAAAAATCGCTCACGTAATAACGAGGTTCTAATCATTCTAATCATTGATTCGCGTGTCTGAACTCAAACCCTTTATCGAACGGTTTTAATAATTCATAACGAAAATTATCGACCCCACATTTCTGCCGAAGAATAACCCAGTGAACACAATGTTCTAAATTGGGACATAAGGACGTTTTAAAGACATCTTCGTGTCCCGATTTGCGACATGCGTGCTGTCTGGGAATTTACTCCGATCAGAGAAATTACAGAAATTCCATCGAGACAGTAAAACGCGATATATCCGAGACACCTGATATATGCATATAGGAGGGAAAGTCAACAAGTCTCTCCGTATTCATTTCTTTCGTCCTACTTATACACGCGTCGTTACATGTGCGAGTGTAATCGATCTTTCGTTAAGGAGGGAAGAAGAGCTGAAGGACCCTAGGCAAGTCGACCGGAAGCGACTCGGAAACGATCGATCCGTAACGCTGAGACGTTTACCGTCCTGACTCGGATTCATTCGCGAATCGATAGTGGATCGAACCAATTTAGAGTTTCGTGTTAATTAATCCTAGCTGGCCACACTTGTTTTCGAATGCTTAATTCGTCATGATTATCGCATTGTCATTTTCTAATTAATGTTTTTAAACTTGTAATATAGGAATTAGAAATACAGAACTTGAATAAGATATTTATGATAATATGTATCAAAAGGCTCACAAGATTAAAAATAAATCACAGAAAAAGAATTTTACAACACTTCCATCTAGTTGCGGCTCGATGCTCCTTTTTCTGTGATTTATTTATGATAATATCGGGTCAAGAAAATGATTTGACTTTAAACTGAACTTATTGTAAGGAAATTAGAAAATTATGTTATGTGTGAAAAACTAGAAAATCGAATAACGGTTAAATTAAATAATCGTTTCCGCGCGCTTACTCGCCCGATCGAAAACCCGTTCTAGGATATTTATCTTGTTTTCGTGTTGACAAAATTATCGCGCGCATCAACCGAAATAATTCTGCCGGTTTTACAATCGCCGGGTTACAATTCTATAAATAAACGTAGCCTTTTCTCTCTCTTTCCCCTCGCCAAAACTGCACCCCCGACCCAATTCCGAAAATAATCCGCCGGGACGCCCGCGGGATCGTAATCGGCTCTCGAGAACAATTGCGGCGACCATATATCGATGAGGATTGCAGGAACGGCCTTGACTCCCTTTTCGTCCACTCCCGCTTCCTTGCTCGAAATCGATTCGCCGTGATAGAAAATGGAGGGCGATCGGACTGATGTCTTTTTTTTCTTCTAAATCAGGAAAAAAGCTACAAGATCCATAACGACGCGAAGCGTTATTTTGTGGAAGAGGAAGCACGAGACGCGTCGAAATCGAACGATATCTCTCTTTTTCATCGCGCTCCGGCGAAACGTGTCGAAACGGGAGAAACGATGGAGGAGGAGGGGGCGGATGCGTCACGAAGAGGATAAAGGGCGGAACGGAGGAACTAGGAGAAGACACGTGTGTGACACACGGCTTATTTGCACGTATGTATGTATGTATGTATGTATGTATGTATGTATGTATGTATGTATGTCTCTGTGTATGTGTGTATAGTACGTGTGAACGCGATGATTACATAGGCACTCGCGAAATAATTTCCTTCCTTCGCCTTTCGTATCCCACATTCGACAGAAAAAAAAAAAAAAAAAAAAAAAAACCCCGAGAATATCTATCGGAAGAGTAGTATTATAGTTAGGAAGCAAACCTTTGGATCAGAGTCTCAGCCGCGGAAACACTCTCTACTGCCATTTTCGCAGATCGAGTCTCGATCTGTGCGTATTGCGCTCTCTCGGTGGTACCCCGGAATGAAGTACCGAGGTATAATTTCCTATATCAAGCACTGCGGCCGTCCGATCGGCCGGGACGGCGGATCATACGATCGATTCGCCCGACCACACTCGACCGGTCTTTGCTCTGGCGGAATAATCGCGTTGTCCGAACGCTAGCATTTGGGAGAGCTTAACAAGAGCTCCACATATGGAACCAACTGTAAAAGATTATTTTGATTTTTTTTCTCTCTCTCTCTCTATTTCTCCCTTTCTCCGTCGCGTCTCTATCTCGCTCTCTTTGTCCCGGAAACAAAATTTTCTTTGTTCCCTCGTCTCGAAAACTTTCTCTCTCCCTACGGGGTGGCCCCGGCCGTTTTGTTAAATTCTTTACGTTTCTCTTTCACAAAGATTTTTCGCGGATTGACAGGCTCGGGTTTAGACGTTTTAGAGGCGGGCAAGCAAGTCTTTCTCGAAAGTCTTTTCTCCTACGAACTGAATAAACGCGTTATACCGTGCACTTGGTCTCGGCTGGCCTTTCTACCCTTTTTCCCTCGCCGACGGGATACCGATTTTCCCTTTTCTCTCTCTCTCTCTCTCTCTCTCTCTCTCTATTTCTTCACTAGCGAGATCTCTCGCCACGGGCCCTCTCTCTCGCGCCCCAATGAGTCGCGCGTGAAAATTGGAATACGATCGTAGATGCGTCAGATCGCGCGATCCTCCTTTTCTCGCGAGAACGACGTCATTCTGGCTGACGTGGCATACGGCTGACCCAGCGACGAACCGCTCTCGTTCGTGGGCGTCTCTCCCGTGGCGATTATCTTTCTACCTATACCCACCCTGTCCGCCTGGCTTACTTGCCTCGCCTGTCTGCCTGCCTGCCTCGCCCTCGCCCCCCGCCGGTCGTCCGTTCTACGTGTCTGAGTGTGACGTCGTTGCGTGTGCGACCTCGTGTGCGCGCGCGACGTGCCCGAAACGGAAGTGCGACGCGCTGAGAATGGGAACGCGCTCGCGCATGCGTACTCGTCGTCGGAAACCCGCCGGAAAAACGAGACAAAAAAAAAACAGAGAAAGAGGGGAGAACAAGAGGGGACGAGAGAGAGAGAAGAAGGCAGCTTCTTTCTCTCGGACGAGAGTCCTTTTCACCCCCTCGGCCCGAAATATAAACGACGCTTTCACTTCTGCGGATTTTTTTAAAACCGTACGAAGGCACGATGTTCTTTCTCGACAATGACGTTGTTTCTCTCTTTCCCTCTTTCTTTCTCCGAAATAACGACCGAACGCGTTTCGGTATGTCGCCCCGAGAGAGCGACAGAGATAGGGACGCGACGGAGCGGACTTTTTGCAGTGCGCGCGACTCTTGCCGAGAGAACGAAGAACGAGGAACGAAGCGGGCGAACGAGAACGAATTATATCTCTCTTTCTCTCTCTCGCGATATCGGAGTCGGACAAATCTGGAGGTGTCACGGATTCGCGTGGCTCCGACGTGTCCCGTCGGGGACGAGATCGGCGGAGCGACGTTCAGACGCGACAGACAACAAATGTCTCTTTCTCTCTCTCTCTTTCGTTCGTTCGTTCGCGTTTCTGCGTCGTTCGCGAGATTCGGGATCTCTCGGCAAGGGCGTTAAAACAGCATGTGGATGCAGCGAGTTAAAACGAGCCGCAGGCAAAGACGTGTAGAGTACGAGATCGGTCGGACAGATGCGTATTATTTACTCTCTCAGCAGTCAGTATAAAAATGTAGCGGTTTATATGACGATGAGCGAAAACTTCGGAGATCGAAACTAAACATGGCCACATCTGGAACTATTCTGAGCCTCTCAGCCAGACGCCCGTCGCGGAAACCGTCGTCGGATGGCGGTGGCGGAAACAGGCGAACAACGGGTCAGGAGGGAAAGCGACGCGCGCGCGCTCGGCCAATCGCGCGCCGCGCCCGCCGGTCACGTGACCGCGCGCCGCTCGCCCGCGCGCCTCCCGCGTCCACGAACCGATCCCCGTCCTCCGGCCTCCGACTCGCTCGTCCACGCTTCCCCCCACCCCCCTGCCCCCCGCGCTTTCCACGGTCCCGCGCGCGCGGCGGGCGGCGGGCCGATCTCTCTCTCGTCGCGCGAGACAGGATTCCTGAATATCGCATGGTTGCCCCGCAATCCGCACACGGAACTTTCTGCGCGAAAGGCGTGACGCGGCCTACTGCGCGTCCTGAAAACATTCGCGCCCGTGAAACGCAGGTGCGTGACTCGGCGTATCGCCCGAGCGCGCGCAATCACAGGGCCGCGCGTTACGAGCGCGAAAAATGATAATGAAAGATTGTACAATCTGCATCCCAGACGGCACAATGTCCAAAATTGGGACATAACATGTCATAATAGACGTTAAAATCATTTTTCGACACTTATGCTCGATTACGCGACCATGTTATTTAGTTATTTAATGAACTTTGATTTTGTTTTTGTAAATATCAGTAAATGTATTTTCTCAATAAACTTGTTCATTCGATAAAGAGCTACGTATATGATAAGGATGACGTTGTTAAAGAATTATAGAGCTGATAAGGGAAGAAATAATATGTAAGCACTGGTTTTGTAGAAAAAAAATGTTGAAACACAAGAACGAGAATTTTTTTCCCAAAAATGCATATAAATATAAATTCAATTCCCACTCCCAACTTTGGGCTATCGCTTCAGAAATTTTAAATGACGCTAAATCAATCGATACATCGTTTCATAAGTTTTTTATTCTTTTGAATTTGAATGAATACTTTTCCTATCGTATTTAAAAAATTTTAATTAAAATTGTGAAAGAAAATTTTAAATACTAGAAATTAAAAAATCATAATTTAGAGATTTATCTTATTGAATGACAACATCCTCCGTATAAATCTCCAATAAAGTCTGTTTAAAATTGTTGCAAATGTTTTGTAATATCCGATTTTGTAATCGGTTGTTATTTTATGGCATTTGTTGTTATTTTTGGCAGAGATAACAAGTACATATAACAAAAATCTATTTTAATTTTGTATATGTATAAATAGAATATCTCTTATTAATTTTAATCCTAAACATTTTATATTTATACTTTTCTAAAAGTTTATCCTAATATGAGATGGCGGGGTTTTTTCATGGGTGAGATCAACAGATGGGGCTTATATAGGGCCTTTTAGTTTAACATATCTCATATTAGGATCCTGTAGAAAGACATTAAATATATATCTTTTTTTATCTTATGAATTTGACTGTTTTTTCTTACATAAATGCAAAATAATTTATTTATACAAAATGTAAGGCACGTATATATTGGCATAAATTGTAACTGCATTTTTACAAAAAATGTTTTGCGACGATCTTTTTGTCAACCAACTGAATTACAAATACAAAAGAGCGTGAGTTACAAAAAAAATACATATACTTAAATAAATGCTGAACTGTCACGTTTCTATCTTTAAGAAAAGAAAACTGTCGTACAAATAAGTTTCTCAACGAGATGATTTTTTGCAGTTACAATATTTCTTATCAATGTCGCCGATACTTAACTTAAGGATGCATAATTTCGAAACAAAGTGCTAACAGATTGTCATATGAGTCATTTTACTTGTTCATGCGAACGATGATGGAAAACAAACGTGATACCGCTTGGCCAACACTGTCGTAACGGTATGTCCGGCAAATGTCGCGGATTATGCGAGTGTCGCCAGTCGGACAGATCAGAATTGCAGTCGGATTGTTCCGATGGACCCTTTATCTCGATGCCATTGACACAACGTTTGCATTTGAACCTAGATAAAAAAAATAATAGCATTATCTCTTGTTCCAGATGTATAAAAAATAATTCTAAAATGTTTATAACAGTTTCAGCGATTTCGTACTTTGCGTGCGTGTCAGAAACCGTATTCTCTTCCAATTTGAATAAATCGCGCAAATCGTTTATGGTGAAATGCCTCGCCACATCGTCCTCTTGATCGACCACTGTGGAACTTAACGCTTTCTTATGGGCTTGTCTCTGAAATATTTTCTCCTCTATCGTTCCAGTCTGGAAATATAAAATATATATCGCTTATTTTAAATATATGTCATCGATTTATTTATTTATAAATAAATATACTAATTATATACTAAGAAAATATTTTCATCACTCATTGTTCAATGGAAATACTATTGTTCTGATACTAACAGAAAGAAAACGATAGACGAAACACGGCTTCTTCTGACCGTCTCTCCACACTCTGGCCATCGCTTGGTCATCGTTCGCGGGATTCCAATCTGGATCAAACATGACAAGACGATTCGCACCGATGAGATTCAAGCCGCATCCACCGGCTTTCGAGCTGAGCATGAAGATGAAATCGTTGCTGTTGGCGCTATTAAAATTGTCGACCACTTTCGCTCTTTTCTTAATCGTCATCGTACCGTCGAGCCTCACGTAATTGTAGGAACGTTTATGGCAGAGTTTCTCAAACAAATCGAGAGTCTGCGTGTAATTGGATACTAATACTATTTTGTCATTCGTTGTGGTTTTAATAGACGCCAGTAGGCAATCCAGAACCATCAGTTTGCCCGATAATTCTGGTAGCAGCTCTCTGGAAAAAAAAACAAAGATTATTCGTTTAACTGTTTAACAAATGACGTTTCAGCAAATAATAAATTAATCTTACTTTTTCGAGTAATTTGATGGCAACATTGATGCAGCTTTCTCAAATCCCTCTGCCCTTTCCATGATCTTATCGTATATCAAGTCGGGATGATTGCATAGCTTCTTTAAGAGAGTTATGGCAGCCAAAGCGGACAGACTGCCTCCCTTTTTTGGATTATCATTTTCTATAATAAATATAAAATATATTTCATGTTTCATTACTATATAATACTGTTGAGACATTATTCTTTATCTCAAAGACTGTTACTTAAAAAATTAAAACCATATACCTTCCATAGATCTTTTTATACTATCGCTCTGAATGAAACTTTTGTAGAGGCGCGTTTGTAGCTCTCCCATTTTTATGCATACCACGAGTTCGTGCTTCAGTGGCAAATATTTCGAAAGCAAAGCGCTAGTACGTCTAATGAGACATTTATTAACAATGGATACTAAGTCAAACAAACGTTCTTGAGCAAGTTGACGTTCCTTGTCTGTCGCAGCTGCGTCTTGACCACGTAATATAGGCGTCTCAAACTTCTTTCGAAATTCCTGAAAGAATAATTACAGTAGAAGTTATACGTAAATTATAACAAGTGATTCACTGATATGTTTACCTGTGCAGTTCCTAATATTCCCTGATTAACAAAGTGTACGAGAGAAAAGTACTCCAAAAGATCATTCTGTATGGGCGTTCCACTGAGCAACACTCTTCTTTTGGCTTTCAAACCCATTAGAGATTGATACGTTTGATTTTCAGAATTTTTTAAGCGGTGACCCTCGTCGCACAATACGAGGCCCACTTCGTCTTGATGCAGGACGTGTGCATGTAAGCGAAACGTTTCGTAACTTATAATGAGGACAGGAGTCACAACTCTGCCGTAAGTTTTCATGAAACGGATGAGTTTCGTGTCGATGTCTGCTTTCTTTCCTCCATCAATAGCAAGAGTGTTGACCATATTATTCAACCATTTATTAATCTCATTATACCAATTCTTCACCAGAGAACTGGGCGCAACTATAATTGCTTTGTCTATCAGTGGTTTAGCCTCTGGTCCTACACACAATGCAAATATCTTTCGATTATAATCACTCTTTCTCTTTTTTTTTCTAATTTTATAAGTTGAGACATTTCACCTTGCTTCAACAACGTCCACAACAGAGTTATGCATTGCAGTGTTTTACCAAGACCCATTTCATCTGCCATGATGCAGCCGTATGCACCTTCTATACGTTTGCCTGTCACACATTCGTACATAAATTTTACACCCTCGCGTTGATGCGGCCGCAACACATTGCACAATACAGGATCTACAACTACATGTACCAGCTGCTTGCATCTGCAAGAATTAAACATGTGTCACAATAATTACTGCTTGATCTTAAAATGTATTTAAATGTGAGCTGCAATAAGAGTACTGCAAAAGTGCATATATCTAGAAATGCATGTACATACAGATCCACTTTCAATCTCTCATGTTCTGACAATTCTGGCGGTGAGTACACAATTAGCGCATTTGGTTCGTCAGGATCATGCAATGGTCTGCGTGGTCCTGGCAGGCGTAATCCAAGAACCCGTCCAGACAATTGGTAGCCAGGTATTGGTATTTGAAAGGGTTTACTAAGAAGTTTCCTCACTCTCTCTTCCTAATCAATATCATACGTTATTTCTACAGCAACAAGACTAACAAAGGTGTGAAACAAAGATTATAGTTTACAAGTAAACTTACATGCTCCGATACTATTTTCTGCACCGTGCAGATGCCATTATCAGAAAGAGGAACAGCTTTGCGCTGCGGTATTTGTATATCTTTGACATTCTTGAATCTTCTTTTCGGCTCCTGCGTACAACTTTCGGACTGAGTTAGTTCCACAATGTCCTGCGGTATATCCAGAAGTAAAGGCCGTTTCCCTCTTTGACTGGGCGCTAATGTTCGAATCTTGCGTACATCAAACAAAAAAGAGATACATTGTTTAAGTACAAGATACAAGTATGTAATCCACTTCATCCATTGTCATTTAGCGACTCCATTACATCATGAAAATATAGATTTGATCAGACAAACGGATACTTCAATCTATTTGACTGCATAAACTCTTATCTTTCTCTCTTTCGTTTTGACTTAATTATTTTATCAATAAAGTCATAAGCACACATAATGACTTACATAACCCTATTCCTGCACTGGATGGAAGTTTCCAGAAATAACATGTTAATAATAAAGAAAAAGTATCCTGCAAGTTATTACCATCTCAGACGTTCAAGCACTCATCCTGTGTGAAAATCAGCTCGGTTCCGTAATTTATTGTTCCACAATTTATTGTTGATGACGATAGTGGCGCGAACCGGTAAACAAAACCTCTTTCAAATTCAATCAATCTGCACCATTGCATGTGCCGTACGGCAGATTTTCGTCGATTGGCTAAACAATTTCCCGTCAGCCAATCAGCACTCAGGAAAAAATGTATCTCTCTGCGAGTTCGATGATTGGCTGTAAAACGATAGTGGATGAAGCCCATCTTTTATGAGCGGCAGATTTAAATCTGAGGAAATTATAGAGTTCGCTTCTTCCTCGTTTTTTAAATACTACAGGTTTTTCTCTTTTAGTTGATTTCTGCTGCAAAAATCTGTGAACTTGAAAAAAAAGGATGAAAGTTCGATTTAAAAATGTTAAGTCGTTCACTAATTAGAGATATAAAAAAAGGCAAAAATTTAATATAAGTGGCGCAATTAAAAAAAAACTAACATCTAAGAAATTAGAAATAAATAAATAATAATTTAAATAAACGAAGCGCTTCAAAGACAACAAATCTCCTTTAATTCTCTATTTCTAACATATACAGTTTGTCTTTCACAAGACGATACACGATGACGTTTCGCTCGGAACATTCTCTAAAGGTAACTGTACATATCGTGTTTAAACATCTTTCCGTCGGATTGGTTCAAACGCATAAAGAATCTTATATATGTGAATTTCGCAGTGGAATGTTGGGAACGCAGAAATACAACGCGATTCGTGGATTTCTCTATGCTTTTCGTCTACGTTAATACTGAATAATATATTACACTTTACAATGATTGCTTGGCGTGAGTGAGCGTCGTCGCTCCAAAGCACGAAAGACGCATGCTTCAAATATTGAAACAATATATATGTATGCAGTGTTTATTATTTCCATGATAGAGATAACATATGTAGTCTCGGATCTGCAACTTGCAATTTTTGCAAGGTCTCCCAGAATAAATTGTTTATAATTTTTCAGCTTACTTAACATATCAATATCGTTGTTACCCATTTTAAACTCTCATTGCACAACATCAAAAAACGATATACGATCCTGTAAGCTTGTAACGTCAACATTTTTTTAATAGCCTGCAACAAAGACGCGTTATTCTTTCTCTTTTGTCCCTTTATTATCCGAAAGCGTATATGCCGTTTTAACTATTCTCTTTAATCATTCTCTTCTCACGTTACATCGATCTTTCTTGCAAACACACAAGAACTGGCGTGTTTTTATTCTGATTAATGTCGAAGAGAAGATAAATCGGACTTGTACGCGCAATTCCATTAAAATAAGCTTACGCATAAGACGAGACAAATAAAACGGTGATTAATGACGGGAGTCTCTCGGATAGAATTCCGCGAGGGTGCTGGCTGGGATTCGCTTAAGCATCTCCTTGGGGAAGATTCGCAGAAGCTGCCAGCCGATGTCCAGCGACTCGAAGACCGTGCGGTTCTCGTAGCCGCCCTGCGAGATGAAGTTCTTCTCAAACTTCGACAGGAATTCCAAGTACAGCAGATCGTCCGGCGTCAACGCCTCTTCTCCCACGACGGCTTTCATCGCCTGGACGTCCTTTCCAATGGCGTAACATGCATACTGAAAGATATATTTAGAATTATGAAAAATAATTACCCAAATATATATTTTTAGAATAACTGTAAAAAAGAAAACTGTGTGCAAAGAAATATCATAATTTTATTTCTGATGGGCTTAAAAACGAGCTTATAAATTTGTTTCTTAATTTATAACGACTCACCAATTGATTGGACACATCGGAGTGATCCTTTCGCGTCATACCCTCGCCGATGGCGGACTTCATGAGACGCGACAGAGACGGCAATACATTCACGGGTGGATAGATCTGCCTGTTGTGCAACTGACGATCGACGTAGATCTGGCCCTCGGTGATATATCCGGTAAGATCGGGAATCGGGTGAGTAATGTCGTCGTTCGGCATAGTGAGAATCGGGATTTGCGTGATGGAACCGTTGCGTCCCTCCACACGGCCGGCGCGCTCGTAAATCGTGGCGAGATCGGTGTACATGTAGCCGGGGAAACCGCGTCTACCCGGTACCTCCTCACGAGCGGCTGAGACCTCGCGCAACGCCTCAGCGTACGAGGACATGTCCGTGAGAATGACCAGCACGTGCTTCTCGCACTGATACGCCAGGAATTCGGCCGCCGTCAGGGCGAGACGAGGTGTGATGATTCTCTCGATCGTCGGATCGTTGGCTAAATTCAGAAACAGGCACACGTTCTCCATAGAGCCGTTCTCCTCAAAGTCCTGTTTGAAGAAACGCGCGGTCTCCATGTTGACACCCATGGCCGCGAACACGATGGCGAAATTGTCCTCGTGAGAGTCGAGAACCGATTTGCCAGGCACCTTCACGAGACCTGCTTGACGACAGATCTGCGCGGCAATCTGTAAAAAAATCAAAGTGTGAAATCTCAACCCATGATATGAAAAGTACAAAATTATTGTCATAGAAAAAATATTTAGTTTAATTTCGAAAGACGTATCAACAGCAAGCAACAAAAAAAGTACATACCTCGTTATGCGGCAGACCGGCAGCGGAGAAGATGGGAATCTTCTGGCCACGGGCGATGGAGTTCATTACGTCGATGGCCGATATTCCGGTTTGAATCATTTCCTCCGGATAGATACGAGACCACGGATTGATAGGCTGTCCCTGAATGTCCAGGTAGTCTTCCGCGAGGATCGGCGGTCCTTTGTCGATCGGTTTTCCCGAACCGTTGAAAACGCGGCCCAACATGTCCTCGGACACCGGGGTCCGCAGAATGTCACCGGTGAATTCGCAGTGAGTGTTTTTCGCGTCGATGCCGGATGTGCCCTCGAAAACCTGGACGACCGCTTTGGAGCCAGAGACCTCCAGAACCTGACCGGAACGTAGGGAGCCATCGGCGAGCTTCAGTTGTACGATTTCAGCGAACTTTGGAAATTTCACCTCGTCCAATATCACCAATGGACCGTTTACTCCAGATACTGTCTTGTAAGCTAGAAAAGAAAACAAAAATTTATTACTACCTAGAACTTGAAACTTGGAATCTAGAACTTAATTTCGCATTTTATTTTTTCTCCTAATTATTCTTTTAATCAAAACACAGTTAAAAATATAGAAATCTTGGAAAAAAATTATACTTAAATATATTATAGTAACAAATTCTACCATCAAATAATATTAAAAGCATATTTGCACATTTTCTAAGTGCTTTTAACTTTATATTCTGTTTCAGACACATAAAACTGATAAACAAATCGATACTTGTATAAAATTTATAATAAAAAAATACAATGCAAATGTGTCAATCATCTTTTATTATATTAATAGATTAAATCTTTGGATCTTTTAAGAATAATTACTGTTTACATCCACTGTAAAATTTTATTAGTAGAGGAAGACCCCTATTATGAGACAGGATCCTAATATGAGATAGTGGGTTTTTTACATGGTGGGATCAAAAGATGGGGCCTATATAAGACCTTTTAACTTAAAATATCTCATATTAGGATCCTGTCTCATAATAGGGGTCTTTCCTCTAATTTATAATTTTCAAAGTCGATATTACATAATATTCATTCGGCATTTGTTCAGCATTTATCTAAAATGCCTAATTATGTTATATCATAATTTCGTGGACATTGACGATGCAGGTTACGCCCATAGGTAAAGAATACCACATGGTATTTAAATACCCGCGAGATAAGAAAAACATCTCGAGAATTATTCTCGCGTGTTCCAATATGAAAAAGCTATCTTCAAATTTTGCAAAAGTATTAAAAAAGCGACTGAAAGCGCGCGACCACGAAGGCCGCTCTCGATCGAGCACGAGTTGTCGTCCGCAGTCACATGACGCTGACGGCTCGGGAGAGAGAGAGAGAGATCCTCGGGAATCGACAAGATCCTCGAGAAATCGTCGCTGCGTCCCTGTCTCTCGTCGCGGGTTCGCGAAACCCGGGACGTAAATCTCATCCCCCGGGATCCCCCGTGCGAGAGATCGCCGCAGATACGGAAATTACGGGATTTCAGGTGGAATCAGCTGACCGCAGGTGTCGGAGGAAGATCGATCAGACGCTACGCCCAATCGCGGATGCCCGGTGTTCTCGAGCGTCCTCCACCACGTCGTACTACCCGACGGACGCGGGCGGGCGGGCGGGCGGGCTACTTACTGAGACGGGGCTGCGCGACGAAGTTCCGGGTTATCGCGAGCACCTGCTCCTTGGTCGCCTGCTGGTCGCTGATGGTCTTGGAATACATCCCGGATGTGGAGAGGCTGCGTTGTCCGCGGTATACGTCTCACGCTCGCGCGTTATCCGTCACTGCTCACTCCGGCGAACAGCAGAAGATACTGCCGCTGCATTGACGGAAAGGAAACAGAGAGGGAGAGGGAGAGAGACGGATCGACGCGATGACAGAAGGGGAAGGGGGAAGGGAAATGGGGGAATGGAAGAACACGGGAATTGCGGGAGGAGAGCTCGGGAGCGGCTCTCCCTGGGTCTTGCGCCTCAAAATGAATCGCCTTTCCTCGAAATAAACCGCGAGACACAACGCGAATAATGCGTCTCGGGCGAGAGAAGAATATCGGCAGCGGTGGTGGGAGCGATGAGAGAAGGATGGAAGCGAGGCACGTGCAATCACGTGGCTCGGACTGGGTGAATCGTTGAACGTTCCTTTCGAACGTGGGTCGACGTCGTCGACGATAAGATCGAGCCTCGACGTGACGAGAAGGCGTGCGAAATTATAAGGGGAACGTCGACGTTATTTTTCGCGAGATCCAGCGAGATCCACGGACGAGGGAGGTCCACGTAATTCCCTTGACGTTCCTCGTTCCTCGTCATCGAGTGACGAAAGATGGCGGTTTCTTCAAACGGCTGATTGAAATATCTGTGTGAAACGTGAAATAATATTTGAAAAATATTTCTCGAATAATTTATACGATATAGTTATTTTTATTAATTTGATTTCTTTGTGTAGGTCGATTTTTACTTTTTTAAAGTAAATCTTCACTTTAATTTGACCATTGGGCGCTCTTATTGATCCATTCTACACGAATTACGTGACGACTGTCAGGATGCAATCGTTCATTTATAAAGCGACACGATCCATTTCGCCAGACGCGAAAAATTGTGTAAAACTTTCGAAAAATACGCATTTGATTCTGTTCTAGCTCTCAATTTAATTCCCCGAGATATTTGTTTATATTATTCTTAACAAATAATCGGACAGGCGCGGGCTTTATCTCAATTGCCGCGACGTCAGCCGCGAGTGCTCGCGAGAACATGTGACGCCGTATTCACGCGACTCGCGGTACATACAGCGCTGCGTTCACGTCGCTCGCGATACTACTAACGGCGCTACGTTCACGCGCCTCCCTGGGCTCCCTGCGATCTCGGCTCCCGGACTCCCGGCTCCCGGCCGCCATGGGCCGCCAACACTTGACACTTTATCGGAGCGCGCGCGGCAGGGGAGTAGTGGAGTAGTGGTCGTCGCGTTTTTCACGGACGTGTACGGATAGTCGATAGGAGGGGTAAAGGGGTTCTTGTTCTTGCTCGACTGTCGCGAGTCGGAGACGTCGGAGTGTCGGAGTCAGTCAGTCGAGTTCAGTGCGTTCGCGGGAGCGATATTATACTGGTGACAACTGGTAAAATAACAGTGATCGGACGAAGCGATGGCGGCCCTCAAGCGAATCACCAGCCTGACCCGGGCGCTCGCGACGATGACGTCCGCGTCGCGGCCCTGCCTCCAGCACGCCTCGAGGAAGACCTTCTTCACGTATGTGAACGAGCCGTCGATGCCGATCCCCGGCAAGGAGCCGTGCTGGGTCAAGACCGCCGACGAGGCTATCGAGCAGGCTGAACTCGACTCAGGTAATCGATGACGGTATACCTTCCGTTCCTCGCCGACCTTGATATAAAGGCGCGTCGCGATGATTTCTCGCCGGATTAACCGGACGTCACCAGTCGAGCCCCACCGGCATCTAGTTGCTCCCTAATGTCGACCTTTTTTTCTATATATTGTAGGTGAGACTGTATAGTAGAAAGGGAGACAGCGAATTGCTTTATACGGCACGGAATGTTGGCGCAGCTAGGTATTCAAATGTGAATCTCGGTGACGTGTGACGACTTAACGAGTTAGACATCTGCTTAAAGGCTTTAGAAATATTTTAGTCCAAAGCTCGTCTGCGCATCGATTCTCTGGGACTTGTTACAAAATATTGATGATTATCCGGTATTTACGCTATATGATACCACCTATTTTTCCTGCCGCTTCGATAGAATTTATTTTTGCAATGTCAAACCTGTTTATATTGTTTGTTCATATTGTTCTTCCTGAATATTCAAGAGCGAGATTCAGCCTTGTATTTCTAGACCGACTGGACGATCTAGGATGATCGAAGTGCATACGCATACGCATGGCAGTTGAGTGTCAAATTGCAAGAGCGACTCATTATATATATTGGACTTCCGTTTTAAGAAGCCCCTTATCGTCCTTGCGATTCGTTTAAACGTGGGCAACGTGTGCAGCGAGATTACGCCGTAATGCACTGCAAAGTTTACGTTACTTTGAACTTCGCAAAAATATTTGTGTTAAGTTGTTTGTACAAATCCAGTCGAGGATCCAGTTATAAATCCCAGTTATAAATCGAGCAAACATTATGGTTTTAAGAATTCTTTTTAAGAATAATTTTAGAAAAAAACTAGTTGTATGAGACCATATGAGTCGTATTTTAAATGATTCGCAATTATATTTTGTATTTTTAAATTTTTATGAAACACGCATCTAGATATTTTAATCTCGAGACATGAACAATCAGATAAATTATCGGATCGTACCGCGATATTTGCACGAGTGTATTCGACATACATTTGTCATCTCCTCGCGAAATTTGGCCGCTCGATACGTCGGACGTATTTGCGTTCGGCCAAATTTCGCGCCGCGTCAGGTCCCCACACTCCCCACTCGTGAGATAATCAATTGCCAGTGCCGACTCGAGATATACTTGGTACGTCACCTTGGATTCGCGGCATTATTTTCGGCACGACCTTCGCCTAGACAATATTTTACGGATACGCGCGCCCATGACCGAACGCAATTTATTTGTTTTTTCCATCATGCTTTGTTCGATATTTTTACACGTATATGCTTTTTGAGTTTTCTTGTGTTTAGACAAGATTAACGCGCTTCGCGAATTAAGATTAATATTCATTGTGTCTATTTGTGCCGTATGCAAATCAGCATTCGATAACAGTTAAGGAAAAAAAGATTATTTTCTAAGTGCACGCGTGTCTAAGTGCAGAAAAGACTTCAGAGTCATGTTTTTATTTTATTTTGTTGATGATACAAATGTTTAAAGACATAGATTGATAGTTCAAATAAGTAAATTTGTATAGAGATCTTAAAATTATCCTGAATATTTAATTAAAAAAAAAATTAAGTTATACAGAAAGATGGAGAATGGTTATCTAAATACTTCTAATATATAACTGACGAGACTAATTTATATATTAATAGACATCAAACTCATTCATGCTTCGTGTATCATCAAAAAATCGGAGCAAAATATTGCTATGATACAGTGCTATAGTACGCTGCTTGATACAGTGTGCTCATGCAAATTGTTTGAGCGCTCGATAAAATCGATTCGATACGGACATTGCGTATGTAATTAAGGGCCAAAGCACATATGACAGTCGTAGTCGTGGACTGGGTGGACGTAAGTAACGTACAAGCTTTGGCGTATATCCCGATCTGTCAGGTCGGAATACTACGACCGTCGTATATCGCTACGCTATGTTATGTGCTTTGGCCCTTATGTATCAGCTGATAAAGGAAACTGACAGTCGACCGATGTTAAGCAACTGCAAAAATCTTCCGCTGCCGTTACTAATAACTTGATTAAGAATATACTTGCTCGCATAAAGCATTAAGAAACTAATGTTATTCTTTATTTTTTCTATATAATTCGTAATTTATTTATATGTATAATTTGTATATACGTGTAAGAAGACCCGTACAAATATTATGGACAAATAATATTAATATATTAATGTGAACCACGCAAAGCTACTTCCAGACTCTTACGGCACTACCGGTTTTTTTTATCGTTACGATGCACGATCTAAAATGATATCATTCTGTCGTAAAGCGTCCTTGACACTCTCAGTGCCGTATAATCCATCCTTGTTATAAGGACGTGATGTTCTTTAACAAACGACACGAGTCTTTAAATCTTCGTAATTTTACAAATTATTTTTATAGATTTTTTTATATGATGCACTTTTCGTTTTTTAATCCATTGGAAAAAATTCATCTGACAGCTGTTTAGATGATAAGAAGAGCGGATTTCCACCGTCAACATTGACCTCGACACGCATACGCAAATATGCAGATACGCGTTTTATGTATATATACGTAAATGTCAAAGTCTAATTCTCGCTTAAATATAGCCCGCCACTGCCAACCAAAGTTTCGCTTACTTAGCGTTTTGTCACAATAAACCAGATTATTTCGAATAGATATAATTGATGGTGCGTAAACATTTATCCGACTCTTTTCCTGCGCGATGACGCTTCATGTAAAGGAGTGCACTTTAGACGCATTTATTTATTTGCAGTTTGAAATCTACTCCAGTATCTCGAATCTTTGAAATTGTCGGCGATCCCTTTGAATAAAGAGATTAGTTCGTCAGTATTTAAAATTGTATGAGACAAAATGGGAGATGAAGTCTCATATCACGTAACATACTGCGGGTGTGCACATTGCGTTATTTCGATAAGATTCGAGATAAAAGTATCTTTTATTGTGAAAATTAAGAGTTTTTGCTTACAATAATCTCTGCATTATTGTGTATCTTCGGGGTTTAAAACTGTCTTAATATATTGAATAAGTGGTTCGTATTTTTTAACGTGTCGAATAATATAATGCAAGAATTTATATATATATTGGGCTTGATAAGAATTCCCATAAGATACGCGCGATAAGAATATCTGCCGAACTTCTGTCTGTTATCAACGACGTCGATTTGGTAATAGACATTATTTTCTCGCTGTAGATAACGTTTCGTAATACTGGAATTACGTGTGGAACGTCAGTTATCCTACAGGTTGGATAAATGCTCTGCGAAAATTGTTACTAATATTCCACCTCGGGCATTACTGGGGCATTAGTAGGCATTAGATTTAAAAAATCGGCAGTAATGCCCAGAAATTGTGCATTAGTATAGGCATTGGCATTGCAGCCAATTTAATTTTTACTTTGATTTAATAACATAAGCAAACAAAATAAATATCTAATACTTAAGATTTACTGGCAGTATTTACTATAGATATCACGATAAAATGTGTAAACATTAGACCACACGTGCCATAATCTACTGCAGTGTATTGACGCGGGATCCAAAGTACAAAAGTCTTCGAACGTTAGCTTTCTATCAGCGCAGCGTAAAATAACTTTTTCTCTGTTAACCTTTGTAATTGAATGTGATTACATGCAGCAATAACACGTTCGACAGTAATACGATAATATTATGAGGAAGGTTGATTCTCAATCGTCATATGATTCACTGCAAAAATGCGCCGATAAGTTCTTATTACTGGTACAAATTACATTACGATTAAAACCATATGTAACAAAAATTAGTTTTATAAGTGCAAATCATATCTATCTGTCGATATTAGATTTTTATTAAAGTCTAAGATAACGTTAAAGTATGAGATTGAAAAATGACGACATCGTCACGGTGATGTAAACATTATTTTAGGATGCGGAAAGATGCGTTTAAACGTCATAGTGTTTAAATACCATTATTACTAAATTGATTATTAACTTAATTACGTGTACTATTTCGGCTTCTGCTTGAGACTATGTTTTAAGACCAATTAACTTTACTCGGTGCGCAGTTTGCTGGAAAAAAATGTATACGCAAAAATATTAGGCACAAAGATCCAATCCGATCGTATAGCGCATATTTCTATCACTTGTGTTATTCACGGTCAAGTTCACTTATTATTCTTTCTCTTTTATTTGCAGATCAGGTGGTGTACGTCCAGGGCGCAGCGGCGACACCCGTTGAATTGTTGAGAGCGATGACCGACTATGGAGTACGCTGCGATGTCAGAAATGTTCGTTTATATCATATGCATCTCGAGGGATCGGCCCCGTTCGCTAAGCCAGAAAACGCAAGTACGTTATATTCGTGTGCATACGTAATCTCCTATGCTGTCTTTGTTAAATATCTCAATAACAACTCGTCATTTAGCGCGTTGTTTTACTCCTCGCACTTTTCTGCGCCGCACAGTTGGCTTCACATGTCTAACTTTTGTCTCTTTTAATTGCGTTTTGCATAAATTTTCGTTTAAAACTTTAATTTCTTTTAAACATTAATTGCAAGTATATTTTATTTTAGACACTTATTTTCTAGAGAGAGATAAATGTTAAGACTTTTTTAAAACTCAATTAAATTTACGAAAAAGAATAGCTGTACATTTTCGCTAGAGAAAATTTACTGTATGTTGATTAGAAGATTTTAGAAACAAAATCTTTCTACTGACAATGAGCTTATTTATATGAATAATTCTTATGTGATGCGTTTATGTATGTTTAGAGCACTTCAGATCTGTCAGCTTGTTCATCGGCGGCAACGTGCGACCCGCGGTGAACGCGGGCACCGCCGACTGCATACCCATTTTCCTGCACGAGATCCCGCGTCTCTTTAAAGAAGGCTATCTAAAGCCCGACATCGCGCTCATCCATGTGTCTCCACCGGATGACAAGGGTTACTGCTCCTTCGGCACCAGCGTAGATTGTGCCCGGTCCGCCGTGAGTCATTCCAAACATGTCGTAGGTAAATCTCGGAAAATCTCGCACAATCACTCTCTTCTTGATGGATAGAATTTAAAGGAAACCTAAATTTTCGCAGCCTTAGTCAATAAGTACATGCCTAGGACCTTCGGCGACGCTCTCATCCACGAAAGCCACTTGGATTTCGCCGTGGAACACGACGAACCACTGCCGGTTCATCCGGTGAAGGCGCCCTCCAAGGCCGAGCAACTGATCGGCAAGCACATCGCTGAAAATCTGGTGGTGGACGGCGCCACGTTGCAGCTGGGTATCGGCAGTATACCCGACGCCGTGTTGTCGCTGCTGAGTAATCACAAGGATCTGGGTATCCACAGCGAGATGTTCAGCGACGGCGTGGTGGATCTTGTGAACAAGGGCTGCATCACGAATAATCAGAAAACGATGCACCGAGGCCGAATTGTCGGCTCGTTCTGCGTGGGCTCGGAGAAGCTCTACGATTTTATGGACAACAATCCTTTCATAGGTCAGTTTGTCTTTCATTTAGGATTATTGCTAGTTGACAAATCACGAAATGGCTTATTTAACGGTTTTCATTTCTTACAGAGATGCTGGTGGTAGATTACGTCAATGACCCTAGAATAGTCGCCAAGCAACCGAAGATGACGGCTATCAATTCGTGTATTGAGGTGGACATCACCGGTCAGATCTGTTCAGACAGTATTGGAACGAGAATGTACTCCGGTTTCGGTGGGCAGCTAGATTTTATTACAGGCGCTGCGATGAGTGAAGATCGACAAGGAAAACCGATCATAGCACTTCAATCAGTCACCGCTAAGGGCCATAGCAAAATACAGCCGGTACTAACATCGGGTAAGTAGATAGAACTGTCGAAATAATCTTTGTTTTTCATGAATTTGGTACAATATGAAATTACTTATATATCTTTAAATGAAAAAGGCAAGATACTATTTTAACTTTTAAACTCAATATATTATCTTAAAAAATATTTAAGAGAGAGAGAGAGAGATTCTTATTTAGATTTATAAAATTTATATATAATTTGGAGAAAATTATAAAACGTACTCTTATTTCTTCAATTAAAACGTGGATTTATTTTTAATCCGATTTTTGAATAATTAACTTCCGTGTTGATTTCAACACGTTGCAAATATGAATCGTAATCAATCGTTTTGTCATGTTGTGTTAACAGGTGCTGGAGTAGTCACCAACAGAGCAGTGGTGCGATACGTCGTGACGGAACAGGGAATCGCCAGCCTGTTCGGCAAGAGTCTTCAACAACGTGCGTACGCATTGATCCAGGTGGCTCATCCCGATCACAGAGAAGCGCTCGAGAAATCGGCGTTCGAACGCCTAAAAGTGATGCCTGCCCCATAAGCTGAAAAACATCATATTTAATAGCATTTTACAATCATCCGCGTGCTTTAGTCACGCACAACGGCCAACCATCAAAGTGAAGCGAAGTCTTCTTGTACGATATTGTACATGTTCTCTTACTGGAAGACAATTCGCCGGCCTTCTAGAATAAGGGAAAGAGGGGGGGGGAGAGAGAAGCATGAACTAGATCGAAAATTTAGTGCGTAAATTATATCATTATGTATGTAAGAGTCTGTATTGTGAAATCGCACTCGTTTCCATATACATAGATGTTAATTTAAGCCACGTGTATTTTATATCGCGAGAAGAAACGTGTTCGTGCCTTGGAACACGAAACAGAAAATGGCGCAACTCTACGCCGTTCTTAGATGTAAACATTTTTTATATTAAATTGCCAACGTTCCTTTATATAATTTTTCGTGTTACCATTGTAATAACAAAGTTGAAATAGTAGTACGCAAAAAGAAATATAAAAGATGAGAACGCTGATATTGTCAATACTTTATTGTATCTCTCCTATACGCGCGCGCGCGTTTACATAATCGTTTACAAAATACGCAAAATTCACATCGATAGTTCGTCCGCGGATTGTGAACGCTGTCGAAAAATCGAATGCTGCCAAATCAGATGTTCAAATAGCGATTTGTAGAAATGACAACGGGTTTGCTTCGCTAGACATATGTGGCCAGCGAGATCTTTTAGAATATTTTAGATTATGTATCGTGTAAATTTTCATATACTAACGTTGCTATTGCCGTGTTGTCAACGAGAGCTTGTGGATTTGAACCTATCGGTTTCGAAGCGATGAGAAGATGTTCCGAAACTTAAGATTGACGTTCGGAAAAATCAGGCACGCGAAACCTTTCCAATTATGTGGACGATACATGCAAAGCTTGAGGGAACCTGCTCAACCTTTAAAACGGTGTCCAAAATGGGTTTGCGTGGAAGATGCAGTGAAACTCATAAATTCAGGTATTTATAGTCGCATTACATTTTAGTAGACCGATTTAGATTATGTTTTCCGTATAAAAAAGAATTATTCTTTTCCATAAACGTTTTTAATCGAATAAAATTAACAATTTGTTTAGAAAATTAAGGCTCATTGAATTCTAGTTTATAATATACTTCTAATTTAACATGGTTGTCCTAATTTTTAAATTCTAATGTATGAATAAAGGATACAATAGTATAAGGCCTAAACTTTTTCTTCTTAATACATATGTAGAGAACATAAATTGTATTATTACAAGTGTTGCTGTAAAACAGATGGTTCTCGTAAATGAACTAATTTCTTTTCCAGAGCATTTGGTTTTCATACAAGGTGGTGCGGCCACGCCGATGGAATTGGTGCGCGCCATGACCGAGCACGGAGTGTGCAATAATTTGCGTGGGGTGAGATTAGTACACATGAGTCTCGAGGGGGATACGCCGTTCGCCAATCCGGAGTTTGAGAGTACGGTATTTGCGATGTTTAATCCCCAACGATAACACGATGCCTGATAATTGAGAAATAAGTAACAAGTCTGCGGCGATATTCAAGAGCACTTCAGGTCTATCAGTCTGTACGTGGGCGCTTCTCTGAGGGAGGCAGTGAACGAGGGACGGGCGGACTACATCCCGGTGTTCTTGCACGAGACGCCGAGGTTGTTCTTTGAGAAAAAGATCGTGCCGGACATTGCGCTAATCCACGTGAGCATGCCAGACGCGCGTGGATTCTGCTCGCTCGGCGTGAGCGCCGATTGCACCCGTGCCGCAATATGCACTGCCAAAGTCCTCATCGGTCCGTCTCGAATTAATAATAATAATATTGATAACACTGATAATAACAATCATAATAATTGTAACAAGACAAAACTATGTTAATCTATATGTTGAGATTAGGAAACTTGGAAGGCGTTAATTAATTATCAATATTATTATGATGTTTTTTGCTACGATATTAATATCTTCAAATAATTTTAACATCATTAAAAAGATGTTCTTTTTCAGCGCAAGTAAACGAGCACATGCCGAGATCATTCGGCGACACGCTGATCCATTCGAGTCATTTTGACTGGGCGGTGAGATACGACTGTCCTCTGCCTTGCGTCGCTTGTCCACCGCCAAACGATCTCGAGCAAGAGATCGGTAAAATCATCGCGCAACGGCTGGTCGAGGATGGAGCGACACTGCAGCTTGGTATCGGCTGCATCCCCGACGCGGTGCTCTGCGCCCTAGTAAATCACAAAGACCTGGGTATACATTCTGAAATCATTTGCGACGCGATGGTCGACCTGGTGCTTCACGGTAACATCACGAACAAGTGGAAGACCAGGCATAGAGGACGCATAGTGAGCTCTTTCGGCATCGGCACGAAAAGATTGTACGATTTCCTGCACAACAATCCGGTCGTTGGTAATTATGACCAATTGAATTACTTCGATTTTGGAAAAAAGGACATTCTCGCGTTATCTTACAATTGCAATTATCGCCACGCCAGAGATGCTAGCGATCAATTACGTAAACGATCCCCGAGTGATCTCGATGCAGCCGAGGATGACGGCCATCAATTCTTGCATCGAGATGGACCTCACTGGCCAGGTGTGCTCGGACAGTTTAGGCTGTAAGATATATTCCGGTTTCGGCGGCCAGCTGGATTTTCTTCGAGGCGCGGCGATCAGTCAGGACGGTCGTGGGAAAGCCATCATCGCGTTTCCCTCAGTCACCAGCCAAGGGGAGAGCAAAATACAACCGGTGCTGAAACTCGGTACGAAGGGGAGATCAGATTCGGCGAACGAATGCTGCGAGATAAATATTTTTATTATTAAATTAATTATTTAATGAATCTACGATATCGACGTGTTTTTTTTTTTTACAGGGGCCGGAGTAGTGGTAACAAAAGCTCACGCGCATTACATAGTCACGGAACACGGAGTGGCGGATCTTTTTGGTAAAACCTTACGACAAAGGGCGAATGCACTGATCCAAATTGCGCATCCCGATCACAGAGAATGCCTCGAAAAGGCCGCATTCGAACGCTTGAAATCTAACCCGACGAAATATCTGTAATACTTGTGATATGTAAATACAAGTCCGTGTAATAGTCCAAGTCCCATACAAATAATAAATTTTGATAACAAGAATATAACAATGCTGTGTTATAAACTGATACATTTTATATTACAATTAATGATAAAGATAAATATAAATATAATCTCAAAGTCAAAAATACATGTGCTGCAGCAGTAGGAACATTCACGTAGCGCAGCTGCAAATGTACTGATCTCGGTAATTTATACTTCGTTTGTAAATTAAATAATCGAATATTTTCGTAAAATAAACGAAACGTTAGAAGTCTATGCCTTCCGGTAGAGTCCCCTCTTTCCTTCTCTTCTCAACGTTCTCGTAATACTCCGAAAAATCTACATAAGGCTTGATTCTAGCATTTCGCTCCGCCATTCTGGCGCCAGCCGGATACAAGTCCGACGTCGTTGACGTTTCGGTCGTCGATGTGTCGACGTTGTCCTCTGTGACGCCCGTGCCGGTGCTCGACAAGTCTTCGTTGTCAGGTATGCTGATCGGCGCAGTCTGCACCACGGGATTGAATCTAACCGACTGACTGGTCGGACTCTTCAATGCATGCGGCAGCGGAAAGTTGAAGTTCCTCACCAGGAGAGTTATGTCGTCGCGCTTGCCGGTGGTCATGGTGTTCTGCGTATTGCTCATGTTTACGTCGTGATGAATTCTTACAACCTTGTCGACCACCGCCTGGGAGACTCCGGTTAAAGTCGATTGTACTCGAAACTAGAATCGCAAATATTTCAAAATAAATTTACACGAAATGTTAAATGAGGATTGTTCAATCGAGATTTATTTGGACCAACTACCTGCTCGACGGCTATCAAGGCTAATTCTTTATTGACTTGATCAGTACCGGTCGCTTCCTCCAACGATTTATACAGACCGCGCGACATAAGCAATAGAAATCTACAGGATTCGTCCAGTTCGATACTTCCATGGATCTCCGGTTCGGCGATAATCGGCTCCGCCATGGAAGCTGTTAGCTCTTCAAACTCTCTATATCCACCTTTGACGAGATAGTTGCCGAGGCAGCGTGTGTTTTCTTGATTTCCAAGATGAGATCCTGCATATATATTCCAATTTATCAGAATTCTTTTTTTATCAATTATCAAATTAGTAAAATGTATCAATTACAAATGTATCATTTACCTTGTCTGATCGATTCAACATCCAAGCCCAATTGAGATAATCGCAAAAGCTCGTCCTCGTTCCTCAAATCATGATCTACGCTTAATTGTACAACTCGTAAAACTTGATTGCTGTCTGTTTTGCACAACAGTGCCCTGCTGTCTCCGACATTCGCGACGTACAGCCTCCCTCTGTAAACCAAGGCGACGACAGCACTAGTCCCGGCTGACAGCTCGCAGTTCAACGCGTTTAGCTTGTCAACCTGCAAAGAATAAATTGTAATAATGCATTTAAAAAAGTAGCTGCACAATTTTAACGCTACTTGACTAACCAAGTCTGGAAACTTTTGATAAGTCTCATAAGAGGTCAGTCCATCAGGTATGTCGAACTGCAGACTAGCCCGCTCTGCTAATAAATCACCAATTGATTCCAAATATCCTTTCTCAACTGCTATGAATGCTTGCCTGTGGAACAAATACTTTGCATGTAGAAGATCTTTACTCGTAACTACAACATATTAGCTCTTATCCCAAAATATATATTAAAGTTACATATACAAAATGTTTCTTATTTAAGGTCATCTTATATGTTATATCAATGAAATTCTTACCGGAGAACTTCCTTCACTTCTTCGTCAGTCGACTTGCCATTCAGCTGTCCGAGTAGAATTTCCGCAGCCATCCTTTGCATAGCAAAGCTGGCCGCTTTAGTACCTTCGTGACCGTCGAATACAGCATAGAGGAACGTGGAGTCGTCGTATCTACAGTGAAAGCTACGATCCTCAAATGGATGCTCCTCCTGTCGATATCCATCCTCTCGATAGATTTGATTAGTAGAAAAACCCACCCCTGTGAAACATCACATAAAATTCATCTTCATATTTCAGTAATTCTGCTTAGAACACTTGTCATTAATGTGATACATTCATTTTTAATTCTCAAATGATTTTTAATGTAACAAATTATCGAAGCATAAATTATAATTGGAATAAACAGTTTTAAAACATAATTTGTAGATTACTTTCTATGACAAGTCGGCTAAAGATAATAAATATTATCGATAAAAAAAGTTAGTGTATTATCTACATGTATAAATATGATAACAATAAATTTATTTATAGTTATTGTCCTTGAAATTACTACTTGTTAAAAGATATTGTAATTTATATCGAACCAAGAAATAAAAATATATTCTCTATCAGAAAATTAGCATTATGCCGGAAACGCGAATGTCTATCACCAAATACCTAGCGAACAATGTTAAAATAACAAAGTAAAACATACCGGATTGTTTGCAAACTGGTAAATCGTCCGTCCAATTGTACTGGCTGTCCTGAAAGGGCATCGAGGCCGGGCGTTCCGCACCCGCAGACATTTCTTCTTATTTTATATCAACTCATAATTACCGAAATGCGGTAGAAAATTATTTTACACGATTCTGCAAGGTCCAAAGAGTTGAACCGAACGAGTTATAATAACAAACATGTGCACTCAGCCGTCGAAACTCGATATTTGAGCTTTCTGTGCTGTTTTTCTGTTCTCTTTCCTTTCCCAAAGACGGGGCATATTGTTATATTTTTTGCGCTGATTATGAGACAGATATATAATTAAACGTTAGAGAGAAAAAGAAAAAAGATATAAAGTATAAAAAGTTTAATTGCAAAGGACAAACTTGAAACTAACCTCAAAACTATTCTCTCGTTTTAGGTGCAAAAAGTGCAACAATGAACACTATGAACAGCTGAAACGAACAGGCTTGTGACGCTTGTGTACTAGATCAGAGAGAAACCTGAGAGAGGCCATCCTGGCGGCAGTGGCGGCCTTTTGTTGCTGTGTTGCATTTTCCGACGCGCCGCCTGAGAAAGTGCAACTCAACTACGTCGTATCGCTCGGTAACCGCACATGGTTTGCGTCCGTGCTAATGGTTCGTGTCCAAACTAGCCAGCTGGAGGGGATATTCTGGCCGCGGCGGCCGCGCTCGGCCGCTAATGATCACTACGTGTTCGCTCGCGATATATAACACGCGTTTCGAGAGACAGCTACGTCGACCAGACACCACCGAGACAGAACGTAGAGAATACAGCCAGTTAAACCTGTGAAAGTTAACGAAAAATTCGGCATACGTTGATCTCTTATTGTTCGTTGAAAGTTTTCGGTATTTTTGAACCGGCCGCGGCCGCGCGCGTCGTGCCGCTTAGGAGGGGTAGGCCGTGACGTCATGCGGCGGATCGATACGGTGACGGTGACGTAGTCATCATTCGCGCAGCGAGGCTCGAGCGAGACAGGCATAGCGGTGCGTAAGTGTCGCGTTATTACTTTTCGGGACTCGATCACGGCAAGTAGAAAGAGACACGAGACACTGGTCATTCGATCTACAAACGATCAGTGATTGCATGCCCGCACGATCGATCAATTACCGTAATTAACGACTCGTAAATCATCGGAGGCGGCGCCGCGGCGGTAGTTCGTTGGCACTCGCGGCGAGGTAGATAACCGGCGCAATTAATTTACTCGAAAGAGAGATTCAAAGTCGTAGATAACGGGAAATACAAATGGCTATTTCGTCGCGATGCTCACGGGTGATAATTATTTCATTGGCGGCGCTTGGATTCTCGAGATTTTATATCCGCGTCCGCGTCGTACTTTCAGGTTTCGATGTAGACGTGACTTGTGCGATTCAAATGCGCGGAGTGATACACGGCCCGCCGAAACGGCGGCGCTCGAGTAACTCATCGGAAAATTGCGATATATCCATGATACGATCGTTTATTCAATAATATGTATATCGCGTGGGAAATACGCGTTTGAGAAATATCGCGAGTGCAATATTGGGATCCGTTTGCGTATTTTCAGACGATTTATCGCAACTTATTTAATCGTTCAGTGCGATTCATACGTATATTTCGTTTCGCGCGTGAAGTTGGCAGCCGTTCGCGAACGGACTCCGAGCTCCGAGTCGAGCAGCGTCGCAGCGCGTTTAATTTAGTAATTAACGTTATAACGAGCCACGTAATTCGATATTCGTCAAATGGACAGCGTAAATTCGACGTTCGTACAAGAGATGAATAGTGAAGACGCGTATCTGGAGAGAGTTATTTGATCGAAATCTATCGCTCGGGCAGTTATGGGTTATGGGCAAATCGCAGGTACGCATCTTTCGTACGCATAATGATACTTTTCTCGTGTTATTTTTTCCGTCGCTATATGATAAAATACATAATTGTGTACAGAAATATAATAAAGTGCGTGCGTGCGTGCGAATAATGTCGCGATTAACGGAAGTGCCGTACAAAGTGCCGCACGATTGCTGCATTCTAATGACTCTTACGCGCGTGATAATTAATTAGCGTATTTTTGTGAGGCAGGTGTTTCGTGAGTGCAACAACGAGGAAACGAGAGGAGGAGGAGGAGGCCAGGGAGGCATCGGGCGACAGCGGAGCAACCATGAGGTGAGCATCTCCTAATTTATTTTATATATTTATTATTTGTATAGGATTAATTATTGCATAGTACTGTTCTATATTATTATTGTGCATAATGTGTGTAACATATTTAAGATTTAATTTTGGGAAATAGTCAAAACATTGAATAGAATATTTGTAAAATATTTGTTTAATAATTGATGAAGACATACGTGAAATATTTCGACACGTTTAAAATTTATAACTGTTTGGATTAGATAAAAATTAAATTTTTATTATTAAAATTTTATTTGTAAAATATATGTAATATAACATGTATAAAATTTTATAAAAGTTAATATTTAACAGAGCGTTTTATCGAAAATTATGTATTATTAATTACGTTGCAAAATAGTTTAATTTAGATATATTTGTATTTTACAGATTCGCGTCTTGTATACTACAACTCCGCTGCTGCGCATCATACCGGTGAGTTTTAAATTATTTTTATTTTAATCTTGAGGTAATGGATTTGTAAATATATTGCATATACGTATAACAGGTTTTTTTTCGATAATTATTAGTATGCAAAAGGATAATATTAAATTATATAACAAATAATTTAAATTGAACAAGTAGCAGCAAGGAAATATTCTAGTATTTATATCCTCTTTATTTATTATTGTAAACTGCTTCATATCTAAATTTTATGATTATTTCTGGTTGTATGTATTACAAATGTTAAAAAAAAATAAAATTCAAATTAAGAATATAAAAATATTATATAGATAGATATAATGTTTTATAAATCTGTTACCTTAATGGATGAGCTAGGATACATTATTATAAATATGTAACTCTGGAATATATAAAGTATAAATTCGATTTATTGAATTCTCTGTATAATTGCCAAATATATACGATTTTCGAGAGATTAAGAACACCATGAAAATATAATACATTAATAATTTTATTTAGCTAATATATATAGTGTCTCAGATATATTATAATAAAATTATTTTTTGAATTTAATACTGAGGTACCTAATTAATGAAAAATTATGAAAAAGAAAAGGACGTAAAAAAAGAACTCTCTTTAATAGATAAAATATTAACATTTTAAAAACATGAAACTTCTATTTGAATCTCTTCATGGTGTTCGTGACAGCATGATTCACGATAATGACAAAGACTGGAACAAGATATTTCTGTATTTATGAGATTCATTGCATCGTAACGCGTCTGTGGCCCGAAAACGTGTTCTCTTGTATATGTAGAATACGATGCACTAAACGTTCACGAAGACATCTTGCGATAGAATGCGATATGGGTGGATTCTGGACAGGTTGATAGTACATAATAGATGCTAATTGTTGAACATTTGCGCCGTGGTGAATTTATGGCATGTCCCCGGATTCGCCACGATGCACAATAAGATAGTGACTTTGCGTGTCGTTTGAGCTCGCGTAGGTGCTACTTTATGTTTCCTCTTCTATAAACAGCTCCTCATTTCCTCCGTAACTTTGCTTTATTGCAAAATTTTTCGCTATCCGATGGCCCAATTTAAAGAATGGCGATATAACACTTGGTTCAATAACAACGACAATGGAAAACAATTAGTCTGTCAAGAAGCTCGAGATTTATTACAGTAATATCCGGTTAATTTTTTAGCAAATTTTTTTTTCTTAGGAAGTACTAAAATATAACTAATTATTATTCTATAACAGAGAACGTATTATTTAAGCTTATAATTAATTAATGCATCTATAAGTCACAAAATTATTTGCATGCCTAATATTCATGAAAAAATAACTTCTTTTAATCTATTCAGAAAGCGATATATGAGTTGCAATATAAATCGGACGTTATTGAATATAGAATAATTGCTATAAATTAAACGGTAAATCCTGTTTGCGTGAGTAACATTAAAGTGTTTTACCCTTATATAGATATAGTTTGAGAGTTTATTTCTTTACTGGTTATAACCAACGAATTATAACGATCAAACGAATAATCGCGGCAAACTCATTTGCAACATTTATTTCGGTCGGATAATTTTAACGTCGCGAAGAGCAATACAAAGATCGTAGATTAATTTAGTTTCCACAGTTTTGATCGTTTGTGAAGGAAATGACTATAATTAGGGTTAAGTACTGGTTTATATTGTACAATGTTACTACAACAATTTTCCGCGCGTGACTCACTCATTACGAGATTAATGTGCTTGATAGTTTATTGGCGTGCCATTTTACATTGTACGCCGTAACCGTAAATTTATTATTATGTAACAAGTTTTTCGCTAGATTAACAGATAGATAAATTAAGATATTCTTCTCTCTTTTTTCTTTTGGAATGTTTTGTATATCTTACCTTGAATTGTTTTGAAGTCGGTAGAACGAAACCGATAAGCACAATTTATTACCCTTTTTCCTCGTGAAAAATGTGAAACACAAATTGGATATAAGATAAACTGTTATCTGAAAACCATAATAGTAATTGCATGAAATTGGTGGTTTTCAGGAATCGCAGTATACGAGCGATACTCGACTCAAAAAGTTTCTTATACAGAAGATATCTTTAGTCGATATGTGTTAGGAACTTTATCATACTATTCGCCATCTCACACAAAAATATTTCTTACATATTAAGTTATTTCATTATCTCTATTGCTAATCTGTATATCTGATTAAGCAATTAAGGAATAAATTTAACCTTTGTTGTGCACACAGGGGTCAAATAGACCCCATCGTTTTTTCAAACGCGTTTTTCTAATACGTACAATACGTACAAATATTAAAAATTGAATTTTTTATGCATTTTTTAGTGAAAAAAGTCCATTTTTCGGCTTCTTTAGTTAACATATCATTTATAATTCTTTTATGTTGCAAGATATTAATAAAACCTATTAGACCTAATTTGGAAGCTTTGAACAATAGCCAGCAATTTTGTTTGAGTCAAAATAACGAATTGTACGTCTGTAATAAACAATTAAGTGACTGGGGTCTAATAGACCCCCTGTGCACAATACGTAATTTTGAAGAGGTGTGCACAACAAAGGTTAATAGATACAATATTGATATAAATACAAATGTGAATAATAAATCTGCAATCTAGTAGATCGTCATAAATATTTTTTGACAGAAGCTAAGATCAGTGCTTATGGCTAAAATATCATTACGTTTTGTGCATACAATACACATTTCAAATGTCTGTATCAATATTGATATTGTAATTGATATTAATGCAGTCGCATCTATCTCAGTTACTTGATTTTCCTGTTGGCATAGTGAGCAATTTAATCGTGATTTGCAGGATAATAGTATAAATGCGGCACATATTTTCTTAATAGAAAAAAAATATCAAAATCTGTTATGATTA